CTAGGTGTGTTACTTCCACTGACAAATTAGCTTGAGTTGAACAAGTAGAGGCCATGGCTATAAAACAACATGAGGAAACAGTCAGTCGGCATCCTCATACCTCACTTCAGACATGGCTCATGTCTGAAGGTCAATATTATTTCTTTCATAGATACAGAAAAACCTGCTGCAATTTTTTTGAAAGAGGTAGTCATTATGAAGCCATAAGAATATAAAGGAATTACCTTCTCCCCATTTATGTTTTATAATTGACTCTTTTTATGATTGAACTAAAAAAAAGTGCATCAAATACTGTTTCATACATTTATACACCATAATTTGAGAGTTCTTAGTTTTGCTTTATTTAATGAATTAATAAAAAAAATTATTTGACTCAAACTGAATGGTGCTTCTCCACCAACTAGAGGTCAGATGCACTTCAAACAATACTTGCAGTGTAGTAAGAGTTTGGTAGAGGTAGACAATGTCTAACACACTTATATAGCTTGTTCCTACCAAGTTTTGTGTCATGTCCACTGCTATAGCAGCCATTTCCTGGTTGTATTCACAAATCATCTTCTGAATGACGTTGGTAAGGTCATCATTCTCCGTCTCTCTGACCACATGTAGAAGCTCTTGCATCACCTGGCGAATGCATGGCCTGATGTACATTTTGGCTACACAAAGAGCAGAGGTTGCAGTGTAAAGATTATGCTTTTTCCTTTAATCATAAAACTTATAACATTCAAAATGTTAGTTAATGCACCTTGCTCCTGGTTGCTCACAAGTGTCTGCAAAGCAATGGCTGCTTCCACCTTAACAGGCATCTCTTTGTCGTCTATCAGGTTTTGTCTGACCAGCTCCACTGCGTTCCTAAGTACCAGCTCGTTATGGAAACACAGCGGACTGAAGCAATGCAGCACCCAACATGACTGGTAGATCACGGCAGAAAAGTCCAGGTTTGTATAATCCACTCACAGGATTTTTGAAAGACTAAGATAAGCTTTTCAAAAAAATAAAAAATAAAAAAAATGGATGAATAGTTGGGACTGTTACTCACCCTGGCTCGAAGGTAACCCATTGGAGAATTGAGCAGTGGAAACACATAGTTTTGTAGCATTGACTCCATCTGCTCCCTGTATATTCTCTTCTTTGAAATGAGATTTAACACACAATACATTACATCAAATATGTGTATCAGGATTTACTCAGTCATGTTTTCAAATGAGTGACAGAACTGGACTCCCATATACCTTTAGTAAGAGCTCAGCAAGAGCTCCAATGCAGTGCAGTGCTCCATCCTTACTCCGGGGGTCAGTAGAGGGGTCTGCCAGGATTTTGTGGCAGAACGCCATCATCTGAGGGAGAATCTGACGAGCAGAAACCATCAACTTCAAGTTATGTTTTGAAAACATGCGAAGTCAAACCTTTCTGAACATCTTTATTTACAGATTAGGCCAAAAGTCTGTATCCATTCATTATGAAAAATAAATGTAGTTTAATTTTGTACTTTTCATGATTGAGTTAAACTGCTCTTTTTTTAAGGTAGAATACAACCTACATGACTTAAAAAAGAGAGTTAGATGGACAAGTTTAAATTTATTTAGGATTTTCTCAGATAAACAAATGAAGGACTTCCGTCTACAAAGTATCCCTGGAAGTTTGTTTTCTGTTATACGTGCTAAATTTTTGCAGATTAGACTTGGAGTTCCTGAAGGCAACATTCTTGAACCACTTTTATTCAACATTAATATGATGATTTGAAAAGAGATGATCACCGACTGCTGTCTTTCAAGCCCTTTGATTAGTCAAGCTCTAGAACCTTATGGACATTTGAATTTGTTAATTTCAAATGTCAGGTAAGCAGAATTCCTTAATATATCTTAGTTTTTGTCTTTCTGCCTCAACAACTGAGCATCTGTGATTCAAATAAACCTGAACCTAAACAGAAAGAAACAGTCACTTCAGGCTGGAAGTGTAGAAAAACCAAACTACAAGAGAAAGTAGTAAGAATGAAGAGTAGGGTCAAAAAGAACGCATGTTGAGGAAGATATGGAGCCTGGAGCTGTACTGGTGCTGCTTTGGATACAGCTTCTGAGTAAAGTTTTCTGAAGATGATGTATGGGAAGTTTGATTATCACTAATTTGAGACAACAATAGAAGTTGGAAGGCCACCATATTTCTGACTTAAATGTCTCTTTTGATTAGTTTCTCAGGGTTATTTCATAGTTCAACTGTAATTAAATGCAAGGTATTCCCCTTACATCACATCAGTGTTTCTCAAACCTTTTCAGGCTGAGGACCACTTAACCCATTTAACAAACACTCGCAAACCATCTAACCTGAAATTGCCACGCGATAACACATCTTAATATGTGATCCAACCTGAAATTAAAATATTAGTCTCTTAACTCATGTATTATAGTTTTCTTTGTTCATCCTAATGAGAAGAGTGGTGCTGTTTGGTAAATATGACTGGCCACGACAAAGACATGAACACTATTTGGGCACTTTGATATAAGTCACAGATTCTGAAAGTGTGGGGTCTAAGTTTTCTAATGATAAACGCATGGCAATAAAAAAAGAAGTTGTTCTTTACTATCAAGTGTTGTGTGCATTAGTAACATATAGGGCTATTTGTGATTAAGAATCATAATTAAAGAAAAATAGACTTGAGTTGCTTTAACAGAAACAAAAAAAACATTTTCTGCACTGTTAAATATAAAATAATAAACCCATTTCTATCAATTGTAGTTATCTATTAAATAAAAATAACAATAGCTGTTGATGTGTAATCAGAGCATCATGAGCAAGCAAAGTCATAAAAAAACAAAGAACAGTTCTCAGTAACTGAGACGAGCCATATCTATCGCTCACCGCATAGCACCGTTCAAAGGAATCTAATTGCTAGTGAACAACACATCAACACTCAGCAGTTATGATTTAGCTTCCTCTGATCATATAAGTAGTCCTGGAGTTGTTTTCCTTCCACCGGTATCTACAGCTTTTCTTTTGAGTGATCTGGTTTTAAGCCACTTATCCATTATTATTTTAACACAATCCTTTGGTGATTCAAATAAACCTGATAGCGTTGTAGTTTGAGCTCACATCATGGCAAATAAATGGTGTTATGCCGAGAAATGCATGCCTGCTGAGAATTACATGCCCTGAAGGTCATCGGGGGTCTCCAAATCTCCCTTTCCAGAATGTGTTATATGAAATTTTCTAGATAATGACACATATATTCTGAGCTACCAGTGTGACATTCATATCTATATGACACCTTTTGAGCTGAAAAACAGAGCATGCAAATATCGGCAGGCAAATATTGTGTATTTGGCATTTGCTGTGCCAAATATAGGTCTCCTGCTAACTCAGACAAATAGAGGGTTAAGAAAGATGTAAGTTTGTCTGCCTAATCACACCTATTCTCTGAGCTACTGGTATGAGTTTCATATCAATAGGATAATATTTGGAGGAAATAGACAGGGCATGCATATATCGGCAAACTAATAATTAGCTGTGCCAAAAAATGGGCACCCCTCCTAACTTGAAGAAATAAAAAGCTAAGAGTTGAATAACTTTTTCTACGTAATCACACATGTTCTGTGAACTGCTGGTATAAGTTTCATATCAATAGGATAATATTTGGAGAAAACAGATAGGGTATGCAAATATTGGAACGCTTTAGTTTGCTTTGCCAAAAAATGCATCCTTCTGCTAATTCGGAGAAACATAGAGCTAAGAGGGATTTCACCTTTTCTACATAATCACTCTTGTTCTATGAGCTACTGGTATAAGTTTCATATCAATAGGACAATAGACAGGGGATGCAGATATTGGCAGGCTTAAATTAAAATGCACCCCCTCTTATATTGATAGATTGGACAGTTAAGGGTGATATCAAATTTTCTACATAATGGATCTCTGTTTTCTCTTGCATTAAGCTATTATGGCGTTAAAAGAAAAAGCGGGGAATTGCAAACCAATAGCGGAGAACATATTCATCAGACACTGTAAAATTTTCGACTCGTATGTCTCAATAAAGGTGTCAAAACCACCACTGGTATAAAGTTAATGTCGCCAAAAGCGAATGTTATCCGGTTAACCAATTGGCTCTGCAGCTCTCCCAGTCTGACTTTCCTTTTAAGCTGTGTCCTTTGCGTTTTCGGTATCTTGAGGTCAACATAACTAGATTGTCTAAGTCTTTGTACTCTAAAAAATTTCTTCCACTGTTTGTGGACATTAAAAAAGACTTTCAAAAATGGGGGTCCCTCCCACTCTCTTTGATTGGGAGAATAAGAACTGTTAAGATGAACATCTTGCCAAAATTTCTATTTCTCTTCATATGTATTTTTACCAAGACATTTTTTTTAAATCATTAGATTCAGCTATATCTAATTTTTTATGGAATGGCAAAACTCCTACAGTAAGACAAAAAATACTTCAGAACTGTAAGTTCTATGGTGGCCTCTGCTTATCCAACTTTCAGTATTAACTTAATTAAAATTGTTTTCTGGTCTAATTCAGTTGATTTACCTTGGTGTCAACTAGAAGCACATTCATGTCCCTCAGCCTCACTTTTGGCTTTACTGACAGGTCCAACCTCTGTGAATCCCTCTGGCCAAACCGACAACCCCACATATGTAGATACTTTGTGAATATGGTTTCAGTTTAGGAAACAGTTTAAATTTACAAGCCCCATAGTCCTAACCCCACTTCTAAAAAACCCAGTGTTTACACCTGCTATTACTGACCCAACCTTCTCCTTCTGGCAGAATAAGGGACTAAAATGTTACAAGGATTTTTATAGGGAATGATCTTTTTGTTCTTTCACTGATTTGGCTTCTGAATTCGATCTCCCACCCTCCCATCTNAGTACATTTTGTAACCTTATGTGGTTTTAGTTTTTCTGTCATTATTTATGGGATATTGATTTGTTTTCCAAGAAAATGCATCTGTCTTGATAATCTATCTATTCATTTAACTGTGTCTTTTGTCTCCAGGTACAACAACACCAGTAAGCTTGATTGCCACACCAGATCCTTCCAAACCATGTGACCCTTTCCAGCCTTTTGGAGCTGATGTCATAGACCATTTCCAGGCTAAAAAAGGTCTAGGTGACCCATTCAGTGGAAAAGATCCCTTCATCCCATCATCAGCATCAAGTAATGCTCCTAAAGAATCTACCTCCAGTTTTACAGATGTCAGTTCCGTAAGTTGAGACTTGGTGATACTGTTCAACTGTCAAAGCTTGCTGAGATATCCAACATGTATGTATTTGTTGATATCATGTAGAGAAGTCAAATCGGCAGAAAAAATATTTAATGAGACTATAAACCATAGGCTGAAAATATTATTCTCCTTGTCCATGTAACATAAAAAATTGCACATAAAGAGGGACACTAGGTGTTCCTGTCTTATATTTTGATTCTTTTAAGCACATGCTTTGACCTACAGGCTATAAAGACATCTAAGTAGTAAAACTAAATGCAAGAAGAAAAGTGGACAATTTCTCCCAAGTGATTTGACAAAAATATACATTTCATCCACACATGCACATGGCTTGTTGCACATATGAAAAGCATCATCAGGATCTGTTGTTCAGTATAGCAGCTCTGTCACTGCCCAAATACCATCACTGCAGCATTCACTAATGAGACTCTGTGCTCCTTGCTCACTGATTCAAATGCAGTGAATCCGTCTCTCTTTATAGATTTCTCCCTCTTCTTCCTCACATCGTGTCTTTAGGAAACTTTCACAACGGAAGATTTAGGATGTATCTTACTTTTGACAGAGTGAAAGAATATAAATAATAGTCTTTACCACCTGTGTAAACTTTGCCGGTGAATGTTATAACACATAGTCTAAGTTTTATAATATGTGTTATATTGTTTCATTTCTAATATAGGCCCTTGTGTCAGATAATCTAAGTCAATGTTAGAGAATATATATATATTTTTTTAGATTTACAGAATCTCAGTTAGCCTTCATAGCGGGGCTGAACCCGTATTACACCAAGCACTGTCGCTTATATTAGCTGGTATCTCGCCGGTGGACATAAATACAGTAAAGTAATATTCTAATCACAATAATATGTCCATCTTACTTGTGAAATGTTGTCTGTGGAGCCCTCGCATCATTAGTCCATCGATCCGAACAACAATATCCCTCAGTGCTGAGGCATCTTCTGCTGTTTTGATTGAGCAAAGTAGGAGGATATACCGCTCCAAGATGGCCGCCGTATTTCCTGTGCCAGAGCGGCCAATGCGGGGTCTACTCTTATATTATGTCTATGGTCTCACTGGCCCTCCGGCTCCTTTTGTGAAAAGAGGCGCAGCCATGGATAATGTTTCTCTTTGAAACAAAGTGTTTGTCAAATTTCTGCATCAATATAGTGAACTGATACTCTGGATGTGGCAGGAAACACAAAAGAGCCGAAAATAGGTGCAGCATCTCTCCTCACAGAGTACAGGAGTGAATTTACCTGCACCTCGGCGCTCTCTCTGTCAAGTTTCAACTCGACTCTGAAGCGGGAGAATCTCTTCCGCCACGTTGGCCACTCCTCAGGCTCCGTAAAATGAAATGGTTCTGGAGGTCCAAACTTTGCCATTGTGCTCTCTCTGTAGGCATTTAAATCCTTAATTCTGTCACCATGTCCTGGTATAAGGGAAATCACAAGAGGTAATCGTCAGTTGAAAAGCCATACTTCTTTATTTAGCTACAGCATAAGGCAGTCTTTCTCAAACTGTGGTCCACTGGTGGTCCATGAGGTACTGCATGTAAACCAACGTTCATTTGCCGTGATGGAGCTCAATGCACCTGTCGCAACAGCTAGTTTACCAAAGAAGTGCGTTAAAAATAATGTTGGAAAACTGGCTTAAAACCAAGTCACTGAAAAAAAAGGCTGCAGATGCTGGTGGAAAGAAAACAACTCCAGGACTACTTATGATCAGAGGAAGCTAAGTCATAGCTGCTGCTAAGTGTTGATGTGTTGTTCAAGAGTGATTGGATTTCTATGGTGAGCAGTAGGACGCGTCTCAGTTAGTGAGAATTGTTCTTTGTTTTTTTTTTATTAATTTGCTTGCCTATGATGCTCTGATTACACATCTACAGCTATTGTTATTTTTATTTAATTAAAAATCATTACATTAAATTAATTAAATACAATTGCTAGAAATGGGTTAATTACTTTTATACTTAATGGTGCTGAAAAGGATTTTTTGTTTCTGTTAAGGCAACTCAAGTCTATTTTTCTGTAATTGTGCTTCTAAATCACAAATAGCCCTAAATGTCATTAATGCACATAACACTTCGTAGTAAAGAACAATTTCTTTCATTTCTGTGTGTTTGACATCATTGGAAAGCTTAGACTCCACACTATCAGAATCAGTGAATAACTCAAAATGCCCAAGTAGACGTGTTCATGGCTTTGTTGTGGCCAGTCACATTTACCAAACAGCACCACTCTTCTCATTAAGATGATCAAAGAAAACAACAATATGTGAGTTAAGAGATTAATATTTTCATTTCAGGTTGCATTATATATAAAGATGTGTTATCGTGGGGGCAATTTCAGGTTAGGTGGTCCGTGACTGTTTGTTAAATGGGTTAAGTGATCCTCAGCCTGAAAAAGTTTGAGAAACACTGCTATGTAACGTCTGAGTAGAAACCTTGAGAAACACTGGCATAAGGTAACAACATGAACTGCTTCTTACTTGAACTAGTTTCTCTATATAGTTTGCTAGTGCTCCCCTAATGGTCATGAAACCAAACTACCGTAACTCCAGATGTACAATAGAAACTAACCTCACAACAGCCACTAAAGCCAAAAATATCTTTAAAACAATTCTCACAAATTATGGAGGTAAAAAATATAAGAACATTGGAGAAATGTTCCATGTGCAATGAGTTGACAAATGGAAGGATTTTTTGAGTGAACACTGTAATTTCCAGACTATTAGTCATAAGCCACAAACAAGTATGGCTTAACATAATATTTATACAGAAATATATTTTTAATGAAATACGTACTGGTAGCATACAAATACATACCGTAAATGTTTTTTCCTAACTGTTGTTGTAATATGGCTGCTTAAAGCAAAAGGAAAAATAATTGATTGCGGTCCTAGTCTAACTCCTGCACACTGAAACCATCAAAGTCGACTTCTTTAGTGTCAGAGTTGAACAGCCTCACACACACTTCCTTAGTCTCTCTTTCGTTGTCTCTCTCAGCATCACTTTTGTTTTGAGGTAAATTTGCTCTTGGACTTCTGCTGTCCTCTTCATCTCACAGCTGTCCACCCTTTTGAAACCTGTTGGTTAAAAGCAGTGCATTAGCCGTATCACAGCAAAGAATCAAAGCATGTAAAAAAGTATTGGCTTATAGTTCAGAAATAACAGCATTAAGAAACTGGAGCTTGGGTAGGGCCCAAACTTAACTGACATATACAGCAATTGTGAAAAATGAAGCCACATCTTCCCACAGGTTAATGATGAGACAGATCAAAGACGAGTCAGCAGTCTCGTCTGTGAAAGTCAACCAAACTTTAATAAAATGCAAAAGATGTCTTTCAGAAATCAGACAGAAAAAAATGCATAGATTCAGTCAGATCTGGTATATACTCTGATTACCTGCAGTTACATAGATTTAAGCCACATTTACGCTGCAAAACAAGCCGCTTCTGGAATATTACCGCACCATCTGCTTGCCTAACTAATGATGGTTGGTTACTTTTAACAGTTTTGGTTTTATGAGTCATACTTGTTATTTCTGAGATTCTCCAACTCCAGGTGCAAAACCTGGAACCACACTATCTCTGATTTGTTCGAGCTGACCAGTGCAAGAATGTGCAAACATAATATTCCAGAGCAGCAGAGCTGTGATACCATGATATCATTATGACAAATCATACTGAGTTAATTAATATAAGTTTCAATAACTGCAACATATTGTAATAAAAGAATAAGTGTTTTATCGCATATTGTAATAAAAGACAAAATATAATCCCACACAAGCCTACACGTTGCTCACGACCCTGCAGGCTGGCAGCCAAACAGCATTGTGGATGAAACAAGCTATTTTTGTTTTAAGGTTTAGGAAATTGCTTTTTATATATGTTATCATTTGTAATACATTAGAAGTTCTGAGAAATATATACCAAAATAGTACTACAACAAATATTACAAATAAAAATGCATGCAAGCTTTTGCACACACCAGAGCATTTTAGGGAAGTTTACATTTCAGATATTAAATGGGATGTTTTTTTCTTGCTTCTTAATATTACTGACTGTAGAATTTTCTAACACAAGACACGGCAGTATCACCACTCAACTGTCATTCCTTTTGTTTGTTGACCCTGCATGAACTTGCTGTGTGTGTATGTGGATGTGTGCGTGTACGTTTGCGTGTGTATGTGTGTCTGTACTTAGTAATCAGTGAGCTTCTTTGTTCTTTTTTCAACACACTTTTAAGTTCTTGCAATAGATCTTCCAGCACGCATCAAACAGCTATGGCTGAAAATCTTGTCCCTGAACGTTTTTTTATTTAATGTAATAGGGACGTTTCTTGACACTCAAGGACACTACAAAACACACAACAAAATGTTAATAAAATCACCTTTAATAGAGGGTGACAACTTTACAGAGTAGAAAACATTACTTATTTCAAATGGAAGCATACATCTACATGATAATATTATATTTATGTAATGTAAAAAAATATTGAACAAAGGTTAAAGTAAAATTACCACAGCAAATTAGCTTAGCGTAGAGTTGGATCCTTTGAACTAATTGTCATTATGTCATATTCATTACATCTTAAAAACATTTCCAAAATTCCTCATTTTACACAATAGAAATTTGCATTATAAACCGTATACAGTAGAAACGATAGAAATTTGAATAGAACTCTGCAGTCTACCGGCTAACTGAGGTAATGCTTGTTGATGACGTAATGGCTGACATCAAGACAGAACAAGCAGCATGTTTGACAGTGCTAGGCAAGAGCTTGTTAAAAAGGCAAAAACATTAATTATATGAACCTGGATCTGGAATGCTTGGTCAGACAGTGGGAAACCAGGAGTACATGAAGGATTGGTGCAACCCCTGCCAGGACCCACACAAGGTAAAGCTCCACAAGGTAAAGACCAATGGACTCTGCTTTTTAACCCTCCTGCTGTCTTAGCAATGCTCAGGAGGAGAAAGGCAGATGTCACGGTCAGACAGCGGGGAAGCATCAATGAGACAAAGTGACGAACTGACGATCTTTCCAAAACCACAAGCACACTATGGATAGTGTAAAAAAACAGTAGAAAAAAAACTTGGGATTTCAGTTCAGAAATTACACCACCTCTTAAACACCAAACATGTTACTTGTCAAAAATGACCAGGGGCGCAGTATAGGAGGAAAAGTTATGACAATTCTAAGGGCCCTTGATGAGAGGGGCCCTCCACAAAAAAAAAAAAAAAAAAAAAAAAGAATTTACAGAAATTAAAAAAAAAATCAGGGCCCTGTCAGTTACTGTTATTGTGTTTTTAAAAATTGTTTTTAGCAGTAAAGATTAAATGTTACCCCTCCCAGACCAAAAAGCACACATCTATATTTACACTGGACTCCCCCCTGTATCTGCATAAAATGGTTCGTTCCTGCTTGGCGCACTTGATGGTGACGTTTTCAGCAGCAGTCAGTACAAGACAAGAACGACTGTGGCTGTTACTAAGCTGCCTAGAAAAACAATGAAGTCAAGTTTTAAGCGATAAGAGAGAGAAAAAGACAAGAGTTTTGCGTTCAAATTACAGATATATATTGCCACGTCCCTCCTGACCCATCCTCTCCTTAGTGAAATTAAAGCTGCAGTATGTCATTTTTATAAAAAAAATTTTTTTTTACATATTTGTTGAAACTGTCATTGTGTTGTGACAGTATGGTATGAGAGATAATTTGTGAAAAAATTATTTCCTCTGCTTTCTCCCAGTGCTAGAAACAACCAATCAGAGGCAGGAGGCGGGTTTTAGCGCTGTCAATCACAATCTCATGTGGCTGCTCAGCCTCCCCCCCATTCGCTCTGTGCTAAGCTGCAACTAGCATAGCCTGTCGTAGCATAGCCACCAATGACGGCAGATAAACAGTTTTCCTGTAACGATAAGTTGTTTCTCCACCATTAGCACATTTAGCAGTGAGTGAATGAGGTTGATTAAAGGCACTAAGACTGTCCTCCTGGTTCTGATTGGTTGTTTTTGGTCAGAACGGTGCATTACTTTAGCTAACAATAACAGCTCAGGGAGGAGGTGGAGGAGATTGATTTTTTTCAGATTATCTGTCTCATAACAAACTGTCATAACATGGTAACAACTTAACAAATATGGAGATAGACTCAAGAAACTTTAACAGTAGTTGCCCAGTGGGGGCCCAATTAAATTTTTTGTCATGCGGCCGAAGATTCCTGGTGGCGCCCCTGCTGTAAACATTCAGAGACTGTGCTTACATTCACATAGACTTTGAATGTAAACCAGATGCACCTGATGCTCAAAATGTATTTGGTCTGAACGTACCATTAGACCAAGGGAGGATTAAACAGTAAAACTAGGAGCAGAAAAAAGCTAAATACAAGTAATTTGCCAGGTCCCCCTTAAAATTTGATTTTTAAAGGAAGACCTGGTAATGATAGGTAGCAGCATAAAACAAAACAGTGTCGTGCACAAATAATATTTGCTGTTCATAACGAGTGTTATGGTTTTAACACATACAAATAAATACATTTTACTCAATTAGTGTGTGATTTTTTTGTTTCTATTGTAAGTTTTGCACAATTCATATTACTATATACTATACTATATGTACTGTCAAATGCATTTTATGCCATATCACATATCCCTATTACCCAATCACTTTCGTGTTTTCTCTTCCATTTGGTTGTTCAATTGAAGCTGTGAAAGTTATATAAGCCATCTTTTTAAATAATTTTGCACAAACCCTTGAAAGTAATTTGGGGTATTTCTTATACATGCATTGTTGGAATTAATTCCGAGGTCCTTATGTGTCAAGACTCAAAAATCATATTGGCACTTATGCAAGACCAATCGTTTAATTGTTGTTGTTGACTGTTTTCTTCTGTAATTTAAATCCCTTAGGTATAAGAGGCAACTTTAATTGTTTTTTAGTGCTTATGTGCTAAATAATAAATCTGAATATGTATTTCTTTGGCAGTTACTGGCAGCAATTAACCATCTTTTTTGGAAGCAAGAAGGGCTGGATATTATTTTGCTGTCTTTTATTAAATCATTTTAGTTAAACAGCATTCTTGTAATTTAACACTGGCACCAAAGAAAAAAAATTGTTGGAGCACATTTTTATCGTTACTTATTTAAATAGATTTATAAATAAATGAATTATTTAATTAGACAGCTCACACCCTTGTGCAAGTAAAGATAAGAAAAAATGTCTTGGAATTAATAGATTTCAATCAACATGTTATTTGTGGTGACACTTTTGGATCGGTGTCATATTAGACATGCTCTATTCATTTTTCTATTTACAGATGACATTCTCCCTGATTATTTTTTAAATAGATTATTTCTACATAAAGGGGTTATTGATTGTTGTGTTTCCACTTAGTTTAATTTTCATAGCACCACTTGTAGTTGCTAACACTGTAGGTAGCAGTAGTTTAGTTAGTAGTTTATTAATTGTAGTTTTGAAAACCTCTTGTTTAAAGCAAGTGGAGATGCTTTCAGAATGAAACTCATTTTCAGATAGTATTTAAAAGATGTTGATTTCTATTCCTTTTTCATGTCTTTGTGTGTCACTGAGAAATGTAAATAGTTAAATCTGCTAACTTGACTGATGCTTGGTTTTTAACTTGTATGTGTTCTTTGCGCCTCTAACAGGACCTGATAAAGTCAAGGTAAGCAATTGAGCACACAGAGGGATTCACATGAAACTAGGTTTTAATTAGAATTGCTTTTTTAATATTTAATTATATGTTAGATGCATGATAAACAAATAGCAGAAAGAAAAATAAGCAAAAAATGTAGCATTGAGGATATTTAGACAAAAATATCAATCAGATAACTTTTACAAAATGAACGAAGAGTATCCCATTTTAACATGGAACCGGCTGCAGTTAGCAGTTGTTTTTCATTGGTTAGTTTTGTATAACCTTTATAAGGTTTGGTGAAACCTTCAAAAAACTATATAGCACTGTTCTTACAGTTCAGCTGCTCTAATTTATGGAAGTTAGGAAATGTGGAATTTAAAGCTGTTTCTTCGTTGGAATAAAATGTATAGTCACTTACATCCTGGTCTTCTGATCTAGTATTTGGTGTCAACCATTTCTTGTTCACAGAAAAATAATTTTAATTCATTTCAATTTATTTACATAGTGTCAATTTCCAACACTGATCATACCTCTAACCTGTACCTATTCCTTTATTGAGCTAATTTTCATAAGCATATCGTCTGTGAACTTTTAATATATTGACAATTTGTACAATTCTGATAATATATTGGCATTGTTCTCTTCAAAAATGTGAATTGTAATTTTTTTCAATCAGAAACTGTTGTAATTGATCCTTCTGAGTTCTGTTAGCCTGATGTCTTTGCAGTACTGTAGTGTGTATGAAGCATGTAATGTACAAAGTGACAAAGCAGAATAATAAAGAATAATAAAGTAGTCAAAATGTGTACATCATTAGCAATAATAGTAAACCAGATGTTTACCTGGAGCATACTGTGATCGCACTACTAATATTTAAAATATATAAAGTTCATATATTTAAAAGACATTCTAAATATATTTTAAATGTAATTTGTTCACAAAAATGGTACACTTAATATATACACTAATCAAGGACGTTTATGTTACATAAAATCAGGGGGCACTATGACNGATGCCGGCCCTGGAGGACCCACTTTGGGCACCACTGGTTTAGAGCAATGCACGTACCTGCGACAAGTAATGCAATTATCGGTAAGCATGCATTTCTCAGCTTAACGATGGTTGTTTATATGCAGTATCTCGTTGACCATTAGGGGGTGCCCACAGACCACCAGTTTGAGAAAGACTGCATTACATGAACAATAGTGATCTGTCTTTATAGTTTCTATTAAAAAAGAAAAAAGTCATGGTATACCCTTTCCTTGGTATTTAATTGATATAAAATTTGTATTTAAAATTTTCCTTATTTTTAAGTGATATATTATTATAGTTCTTTTAATATTTTTAGTGTTTTTAAAGCTACAGTATGTAGTTTTTATAAATAGGAGCTGGCTGGCATTGCGCTTTATCAACTCCAGAGGACTCCAAAGTGCTTCACATAACATTCAGTCATTCAACGACTTACGGACACATTCAAATGTTACTGCATTGCGATCCTGGGGCAGTCTGACAGAGGCATGGTTGCCACGCACCACACCACAGGGGCCTCTGACCACCAGCAAGCAACTGTCTTGCCCAAGGACACGACAGGCAGACAAAGTGATAATTGATCCAGCAACCCACCAATTGAGGGACAAACTCCTACCACCATCATCTGAGCAAAAAATTGTTCTTTACATAGTTTCACTATGTGGGGAAAGTATAGTATGAGACAGATAATTTATGGGGAAAAAAAGTCAAGCTTCACCTTCTCTCTTAGCTACTGTTGCAATCTGCAAAAATAACTGCCAGTCAACCAATCAAGAGATAGGAGGAAGGTCTTAACGCTGACAATCAATGCTGTGTACACGCTGCTTAATGTACAAATGGCAGAAAAACAACTACTGGCCATAATTGGTAGTTTCTGACAGAGTGGTGTATTTCTGCAGTTAGTACCGGGAGCATTGGGAGAAGGCAGAGGAGCTTGATTTTTTGTATAGATCATCTGTTTTATGCTATACTCTCAGAGTGACCGGTTTATTAAATATGTAAAAAACATTTTTTTTTTTCATAAAAGTTACTTACTGTAGCTTTAACCAAGTATTCTTTGATCATGTATCTTTATTTTACAGCACTTAATGTCATTGTCAATATTGCCTCTTCAGCTTTATCTAAAATCACTGAAAATGTCTATGGAGTTACTTCATTTACCAGGCCAACCTGAACTGTGCAATATTTGCACCAAAGGCCCACAATCTTCCTGACCTCTTTTCTCTTGCGAGCAGCTTTACACAGGAGACTCTGTGCAGCGGTTGCTGGAAGAGAATGGTCGTCATAGATGTCTGTAATAAAGAAATACACAAGAAAAAAACAACCAGATCAGCTAGAGACAGCAGAGCAGCAGGATCGAATCAAACTGAAAGCTTAACAAAAACACATTTATTTTCTGAGGTTTAAACTTTTTTTTTTTTTTTTTCATTTTTTTAGATGTTGGTTTTAATCTCTTCTTTATTCATTTATTGAAGTATTTTTATCCGCTACAATTGCTTGTTTTGTTTGTGCCCTTTGAGATCTAAAGTTCTAAAGGCCAATAAATAAAATTTATTATTATTATTATTATTATTATTATTACTGGTTTTGCTGTAAACGGAGACTCATAGCATATGCACATTGAATAAAAATACAGAGGTGAAATCAAATTATGCTACAATCACATGCCATCAGTTAACCTTAATGGTAGGTTTCAATGAACAAAATGATCAGATTTTAACATATTTTATCTGTGTGTTAAAATGATCATATTTTTACAGTCAAGTCTAGATGTTTGAACACTCACTGAACTTCATTCGAATGTACTCATAGGGGTCTTCCTGCCACAGTCTCTCATCCTCATCTCTGTAGCACATTAGAGGGAAGATGACCTCTTGGCATATAGTCTGAAAAAGATAAAGATTGTTATGGATCCTTACTAAACGCTGCATTCAGAACCGGGGAATAAAGTAACAAAAAAAATGCACAGCCTGAAGCTTTTTTGTGATGGTCATAGGAATAAAATTATAATATTATGTTTAATGTTTAATATAAATATTTTTTAAATGCACGGAAAAGGCTTGCAAAAGCACAACAAACAAAGAAACTTCAAGTAACCAAGACCTCAGTGAGGTTCCAATTTGTCCTGCCATGCTTATTTATAAGCAAGAAGGTATAAAATATGTCAAAAAACATATGTGCATATAGTGTTGTTTCAAAATTAGAATAAGGCTCAGCAGCCTACAAGGAAGAACGTAACCATGTTTTAAAAAAAATTAACCTCTTATAAAAATATTTAGAGATTTTCTTTTTGGGGAGATGACCAGTGTCACAATCTTGAAGTGAAAGTGGATGTCAAAGCAACATTTGTGTTGTTGAGAACAATCATCTCATCTTAAATGTGAACAAAACAAAGAAGATGATTGTTGATTTCAAGAGGAACAGGATTGCACCTGTTCCTCCTGTTTCCATCATGGAATAAGAAGATTTTACTACTTTCAAAGAAAGGAGAGATAGCAAGCATTTTGTTTATGATCAAAATATGGATAAGTGTAAGGAAACTTACAAATATACCTCTGTGTTTTCCTTGACAACAGACTAGACTGGAGACGCAACAGTGAAGCATCTATAAGAGACAGATGCAGTCCTCAAAGACTGTGCTTCTTTGAGGAAGCTAAGATCCTTCAAGGTTTGCGGCAAGATGCTGCAGATCTTCTGTAAGTCTGTTGTTGAGAGTGTCATCTCTTCTTCTGTCATCTGTTGGGGCAGCAGCATCAGAACCAGAGACCCAAACAGGCTCAATAGCCTGATAAAGAAGCTTGTTCTGTTCAGGGGATGACTGGAACCTCTGGAAATAGTGATGAAGGGGGATTCTTAATAGGATCAAGAAAATTATGGATAACACTGACCATCCTCTTCAAGAGACTATCTTGGGAAGGTAGAGCATCTTCATTCAGAGGCTTCTTCAGATTCAGTGAAGTACAGACTGCTGCAGAAGATCTTTCCTGCCAACAGCCATCACGATCTTCAATAACTCTTTGAAAAATCTAAATTTATGAGTTATAATATCTAATTTCCTTCAACCAGTTTCTGTCAAGCTGAAGCTGTTGTTGTAATCCAGCAGCTTACTATCATCAGTGAGAATATGTGTGAATGGGAATTTTATTGTGGGTGTCTTAATGGTCTTGAAACACGCTGTAAAAGTTTGAAATCATTATTGTTTAACTTATAGCTAATAAAGGTAGTATTTTTCTTTACTACTTTCAAAGCAAGGAGAGATGGCAAGCATTTTGTTTATAATCAAAATATGGATAAGTGTAAGGAAACTTACAAATATGCCTTTTATTTCTATAGATTTAAAATCTCAATTCATCCCTGATTAAACAGAAAATCTTTTAAGAAATTAGCAAAACTACTGGTGAGCGATATGATTTTAGAAAAATGTACGGCCCTTCATTGTAGGGCCAGCCCAAGGCATATCTGAACTAAGCAGCCAATTTGGGCCCCGGAGCCACTTAGGGACTCCCAAAATGGAACTGATTTTTTTTAGTAAAGATTTCTGTCATTATAAAACAAAAACACACAATTTCATTTTAAAGTTGTGATTTGCTTTTACAATAATATATATTTAATAATGTATGTAAAAATCATTATTTTTATGGAAAAAGAGAAAAATTTAAAAACAAATTGCTTTTGGAGGCCCTCTGGTGGCTACAGTAGGTCACGCTTCACCAGTAATATGAGTTGCCGTTCAATGTGCAGAACACTTCCAAACCTCCACAGCATCGTAGAAGATAAGTTAGCAAAACAAGGTAGCAAAAAAGGACCTATCCTTCAGGGAGAGAGAAAAGAAAGAGGACAAATAGAAAAAAGCCAAGATAAAGGTTTGCTTTCATGTTTCTTAAGTTAGTGTTTATCAAAAAAAATTGTGGAACTGCTACTAGGTAAGGTAATTTTATGTATATAGCACATTTTCAGCAGCAAGGCAATTCAAAGTGCTTTACAGGAATTGAAAGGAAATATAAACAAAATAACAAACCAAAGGAAAGAGCAAAATAAGAAGAAGATAAAAAAAGAAGAATCTAATAATGTTGATCCATTACATAAACTAGATATTCCTGTTCAGGCTAGATAAGTATAGGTAAGTATCCTCTGATCTAATTCATTTTCTGGGTTGCAAGAACAGAAGTATCTCTGCATAGTAATCAAAAAGTATGACGTTGGTCTAAATAGTGAGTACCGGTACTCCAGAATTTCTAAAAATAAGCTAAAGTGTGAGCTAAAATCTTTAATTTAATTTTTGTGAAAATTATTCCACAATTTCTAAGAATACTGATAAACTAGAATAATCTAAAAAGTATAGTATTGGTCTAAATAATGTGCTACACACAGTTTAAAGTTGTTTTTCTGGATTCTAAGTTTGTTCTAATTCATTTTCTGGGTTAAAAGTGAGTACTCCACAGTTTCTAAATAATAAAAGGGGAATAAAAATTAAAAGAGGAAAGGACACATTAGGGAACATGGCAACATTCAGACAACACAAAGGACAAAACAGAGAGACAAAACATAGGGCCATGAAACTGTTACTCAGACCCCCCGAAGAAGTCCGGTGTGATGCTGTTATCAAGGCATGTCCTTGGGAGCGCTCACCTCCACAGCTGCATGGATAACAGGAGGTGGTGAGGTGGGAAGGAGTGCTATGTTTACATATCTTCAAGGAGATTAGAAATATGTAGCCCTTCCAAGGCAACACAGGAAAAGCCAATTCAGATACAGAATGTTTCAGGTTGGAAAGATCTTAAATTTCAATCTCCCCTAAAGTCTCACTTCCCAGTTATCCAAATTGGTGTGGCTGTTTCACAGAACCAAAACTAGCAACTTCTCCAAGATCGATTCCATCCCGTTAGTGAGTTTTGGAATCCTCAGCTGGGCTGAGAGTCTCAGCAAGACTTGCATCCAACTTGCAATTCTGTCCTCGCCAACAGTCTGAGTGTTAGCTAGTTTGGCCAAGTCCGTCACAAAATTCACTGTCAGAGATGCAATACGTTTATAGCAGGTGTGTGAATAATCTAAATTGTCTTGACTGTTGATAGCAGCAATCCACATTAATAGAAGAAATAGAGGGCCCCAAGGTCAAATTTCACTTAGTCCCGGAATTGAACCTGCGACAGCAGTGTTGAGTACTAAGACCTCCATATGTGGGTTTTGCTTAACCCCTGCACCACCTCAGCACCCCCCAAATGAATTATATTTTGACATGAAATTTCATTTTTAGCAGAATTATCTGCCTGCACATTTAGAGGATTTTACTAAACATTTTTCAGTACAACATTAACACCAAAAAAAGTTTTAAAATCCTACAATTTTTTTAAATTGCTCCTTCAAATTCTCTTCATCATTATGAAATTTTTAAAATAGTTTTGGTACACTTTTTATTCTTGGAGTTATTTTTTATAATGGGGATTAAAAAAAACAAGACAGATGTACTTCGAGTACACTACAAATCTTAAAAATTCCTAAGGCAGGAAGTTTACAAATAATTTGGAATTAAATAAAAAAAAAAAGGAAATAATACTAATGGAAAGGGGTTTTATTTTTGCAAAACAAACAGCAGCATCTAGTTAAAATGAGTATTAGCAAATTCACAGGTGCTACTTTACTTCTTTGTTTCCTCTTTCTTTTAATTAGCAATGTGTTAATCATGTTTGATCGGCGTTATTCAGAATCACATTGAATTTGGCATGTTTTTACTCATTGTTATTAGTCATGTTTCTGCCATGTTTAATCACTTCAATATTAGGATCACATTAGTATAGTTTAGTGGGACATGTCCAGGCGGTTGCAACACTGAGGGCCATTACTGGAAACATGGTGTTTCGTGTAGGGACCCATGGAACTACGCGACGGCCGCAAAGAACGGTCCGCCACTTTTTAGCTTAGAATCTACATGCACCACACTAACTTTGGACCTTGTTACGTAGTTGTCGTAGTGTTGACAATTCGTACCAAAGTGATGAGTTCCTTTTTCATTCATAAATAATGTGTACATTTAAGATTTAATGTGTTATGTTGACAACTAAATCCAGTGGTACACATTGTTGGCGAGCCATTGTTTGCTCTCCAGCAGGGAGCTGGATGGCGGGATCTTGCATGTGTGACATCACGTTGCATTGTGTCTATAAGTATTATGATAGGGATAGTCAGGGGTGAAAGTAGTTTTAAATTCTTGGGGGTACTAGCTCTTGAATTGCTACAAAATAAAGCCATATTTCCCTCAACCCACTGGCAGCAATGTTGACACCTTGAGATGCCATGAGACCTAAATCCTGAACATCATGGCATGGAGTCATCCCAGTTTTCCATGTCTGGCATATAACCATTCATTTTAGTTTTAAACTGGTTATATTGATCCTGTGTCCAGACAGAGGGATAAACAGTAGCCTAGCATCATGACCTGTTTGTTCTGAAGATCCTGCAGCTTCCAGTTCATCTTCCTAACATGGCGTCTCCTCACCCTGACTCTCATACTGATAGGAGGAACCACAGAGCTCTGTTAAGTTAAAAGCTCATCTTCTGAAATTGGGATATTTTTCCTCCAACAGGTTCCAGAGGAATCACCTCAAACCAGATGTTGGACTGGATTTTATTTCACTGTCATTTGTGAATGTTGGATTCTCATTTTTAACAGTGGAGCTGTAGAGGTTGAAAAAGGTTATCATTTTGGAGAAAATCTCATCAACATCAATATTTCCACTAAATAAGAGGCAAAAAAAAGTTTGATAGAGGAAAAGCCTCTCAGACTCTGAGCTCAAAGCGAGATGCCCAAACTATTCTTAATTAAATATTAGTCAATTTAACTTCACATAATTATCGTGACAGAAGCCATTTGTTTGTTAAATACTTAATGAAACATATTTACTGTGTTTGATGTTTGTTGTGAGTGACGTATACTCACAGACTAACGAGGTAATTAGTCCAAGTTTGTCATTTATTGAACGTTCAGAAACTACAGCGGCTGTAAAGACCCACAACAAAGGTAAAATAACCTGAACAGGTGATCAACTCAAAACCACTCGCACCTTTTTACTCTCTCTCTGTCTTTGTCATTTACCGCTTGTGCTCCTCATGCCGAGCAAGGTTACGTTAAAAACATTTAGTCCGATACGATATCAGATTTGCAGGCTTGATATTTATTTTGCGATTATTAATAAGCCTCCCTGAACACAGTGGTGGTTGATTAGTTTATTTAAACTCCTGCTCTGCTTGTTATTTTGGTAATGGAACCAAAACGCACAGAATTGCGCAACGCCTTGTTGAAACAATAATCACTGAGAATATTATTTTTGTTGGGTCATTAATTTGAACACTTTTTTTTTTATTGTTGTTCTTTAATAAAGTCATGAACGTTTTAAGCGAGTCAGAGGAGGACGTGCTGATCTCAGCGTCCTGGCGGCGTTCAGTTCATCACCTAATGCCGAGATCGACTCAAAACCTTCCGTGATCGACATATTGCACCGCTGCTCTAGCAAAGCACGAACAGTTCAGAAACAATATGAAATGGGAAAAAAGTTATTTATTAACTGACTAAGTGGTGTTTTATATAGTTCTTGAAAAACTAATCAGTCACAGCTGATTAGTGGGTGCTCTAATGGCTGCACAGTGAACCCGTTGATTTTTTTACAGCAGACAGCCGCTCCTCTCTCTTGCAGGTACTGCGTAGCCCCGCTAAATCTTTTAGGGGTACACAGTACCCTACCGTACCCGCCTACTTTACCCCTGGGGATAGTGAAGGAAAAAGTCTGAGAAAAGGCAATGTGACTGAGAGGGTAATATTGAAGTCATAAAAACGGCTGGGGGAAATCCAGAATGAGCAAACATGTATTACCAAAAGCAGAAGAATGAGTTTGGTTCTAGTAAAGGAAGGCATAATTACAGGTCACTACCCTCAATATGTGAATATCAACGCTTGAACAGAGAAGTCATGTACGCCAAACTTTATACTACAAGTTGTATATAAGAGTGAGCAGAGGAAGTACTGTTTCCTCACAGATTCCCAATGTTGACTAACATTGGGAGCAAACGTGTTGAATTTTATCTTGCAGTTTTGAAACAAGTCAGATTGCAGTTTTGCTTAGTAAAGGGTACAGCCAAGATCCCAGGAGTTGGGGATTTGAATTATTTTCAAAATTCTGTTCACAATGGGTTTACTTTTTGGGGCTTTTGCTCAAGACAAGTTCAAGAATCGTTGTTGGATTACTGGAATTACATCCACCAGTGCGGAATATTAGATTTCAGCCTGGTTTCCATCCACAATTTAAAGGGCTCCTGGGAGGTAACTACCATGACGGTATTAACTCCTCTTTCTGATGGTCAAAAAAGTATTACATCAGAAAAGTTATCTCAGCCTCAGTTTCTAGGAAAAGACAGAATTGAAGTACACTGGTTGGTTCAAGTTTTGTCTAATATCTTCTCTTTGCTGCTGAATTAAACTATGTCCTGTACCTGATAGCTTCATAATTAAAGCTTCAGTTTATTTAACACTTTATTTGAAGGGGTGTGAATAAGACTGACATGACACTGTCATAAACATGACATAACACCTGTCATGAACATGTATAAGACTTCATGAATATTTATGACTGTTGTCATAAAGTGACATTTGGTTAATCATGACACCTTTAATACAAAGTTAACATTATTCAAAATGTCTGTTATAACAACTTGACATTAACCAAGAATCATGTCATAAATATGTCATAAAAGTAGTAATAATAATTTAATTGTTATTACACTATCAAAAGCTTTAACAAAACAGCGATTAATATTCCCACTAACTAAAATAAAGCGAAACAAATAGGACCAACAATAAATATTAATCTTTATTACACTGTCAGATGATTTAATAGTTAATAATTTCTCTTACCTCAAGTAAAGTGAAACAAGTAGCAACAGTTATGAAAATGTCATTAAGTGTTATTACAGTGTCATTAATATTAACTTTTACCTCAAGTGAAGTGAAACAAGTAGCAACAGTTATGAAGATGTTGTTTAGTGTTATTACAGTGTCAAATGCTATGCTAACAGAGTCACTGATATTAAGTCTTACCTCAAATGAAGTGAAACACACTGGACTACTTATAACTACCATCATAGCTGTAGAACAAACCCTTTGTACATTGGAATAAAACAAAAGATAACTTGTTCTTCAAACAGAGGGTTTAACGTCTGGTCAGTATATTGTTACTCTGAAATGCTGATTGAAAAACTAAAACAGAATTACTTATTCTTTAACTTAAGAAAATAGGTTCTTTCAACAGTAACATTTTTTGCTGTGATTGTGTCAGCCATCTCCTTCATTGTAGACTTCCTGTAATGCTCTGAAAACAGGAGATCTTCTTCTTGTCTTCATTTCCTGGAAGCAGCTCTTTGAAGGTGTCCAGAAATGCTCAGAAATTACAGCTGTTCTTGCAATAGTTAATCATGGCGAAAGCCTTTTCATGAATTCAAACTTGGTGAATCTCTTCTGGAGATCTCCTCTTAGTCGGTGATGATTCAATTCATTGTGGTCTCTTAAAAAAAGAACAAAAACAAAAAACAATGTCATCATAATTCAGCATTTATTTTAAAACCATTCCAAAAATGTCCCTTGCTGCACACTGTCAGAATGGTAGACTGGCAGACAAATGTCTAGTTATAAAGTGCAATACAATTATTTCTTAACACAAGTAGCATATTTAACTAAAGCTGAACAAAATTATTCTGATCAAATATTTGTTTGGCAGAAGTTCAGACAGACTGAAACTGTTGTTATTCAGATTGCATCATTTAATGTATAGTTTTAGGGACATGAGTGAATCTTTTCACTTAATGAGTATTCTAAATTATTTCCAACCAGATACTCTGACTTATTGATGTTCGCAAGAAGTTTACTAATAAATAAATAGATTTAACACCAGTTTTGAGTTGTCTAAAACGTAACTTATTAACTCAGCTGGTGAATGTTGATCCTGCTCCCCCTTCCGCACTCACCTGGCCCGTCCCACTCCACTTCACCTGGAGAAAATAGTAATACAAAAATGACTTACCTAATTTTCTTGGGGAATATTTCATCTGCTTCTTTCTCTTTGGTCAAACAGGAACTTCTTTCTCTGGTGGCTGGTCCTTATTAACATCCTCCACACTCGTAGCATGTCTTCATTAGCCAACTTTGTCCTCCCCACCATGTGTCCTTAGGCTAGCCTGGGTCTTCATGTGGCTAAAGTTGCCAAAGCAAAGAACACAAGCACTGTGTCACATCAGCCAAGTTGCTAAATAATACACATAAAGGATAACTTTGACTAACATATTAGCTTTTAATTTGCTAGATTAAAATTGGAGGGAAAAACCTATTTGCCTGCCTTTAAAATAATATTAAGGGCTAACGTTACAGTAATGGAGTTTAATAGCTTTAGCTAACATTAACTTACAGCAAGGTAGGATTGGCTTGAATTGTTCATAGCCAACATTACAAAGAAAGAGAACATAGTCAATGTTATTTTCCCCAAAGAAAGTGTAAAGTTAATAAGACACATACCTCATATGGAAGATTTCTTCTTCACCAACACACTGCACGCCTGTTCGTGCACTGCTGCCTCTCACTGGTGGAGATGGTGTACTGCACTACTTAAAACAGCCTTAAATAATGTTTCAAATGCAAAGTTCACAAGTGTTTTGTAGACATCTTGCTGTAAAACTTGAGGATCAATTAAATTAAGAAATTTAATACTAAACAAAATGGAAGAGTAATATAATATTACCACATAAAGCTATTTTTTAAAGTTTAATCGGTAATATTTTTTATAAAATTTATGTCAGATCATGTTTTCTTGGTTAATGTCAAGTTGTCATAACGAAGACATTTTTGTATAGATTAATGTCATAACGAAGACAATTTTGTCTAGGGTTAGAGTCCCAGTTAAACGACGTTTAATTGAAGTCTGTTGAGATGCTTTGCCAAGGTCGAGAAAGAGTCACACACTGTTAGACAAAGGGCCCATAGTAAAGAGTTACATTTTTGATTCTGTTAGACACCAAGGTCCATTTCTCACGAGAAACAGAAACTTATCAGGCCACAGAGACATGGTGTGATTTCAGGGAGTGTCTTCAGTCCATGTAATCAGCTACCCTCCTCCTTCTCCTTAGACGCTGCACAGACTTTTTTAGAAACTCTTCTCGGATGTAATGGTAAAGCGTCTCCTTTCAGCGCTGAAAGTTAATAAAATAAGTAAAGTCTGAATGCTTTTCTTGGCTGATTTCATGCTCCGTGTGTCAATACAAATTATGATTCATCGATTGAGATTCTCATTCTCAACAATAGATAGATAGATAGATAGATAGATAGATAGATAGACATTATGAATGTAAATTTGCANCGTGTTGCAAAGCACTAAGAGTTCAGAAAAAACATGAAATGGGAAAAAAGTTATTTATTAACTGATTAAGTTGTGTTTTAGATTGTTCTAGAAAAACTAATCAGTCACGGCTGATTAGTGGGTGAACTCACGGATGCACAGTGAACCCACTGATTCTTTACAGCTGACAGCCGCTCCTCTTTCTTGCAGGTACTGCGTACCCCCGCTAAATCTTTTAGGGGTACGCAGTACCCGACCGTAGCCCCCTACTTTCACCCCTGCATAAAATGCCATATACTTAAAGATACAAAGTATAACTTTAGTTGTTCCAAAAAAGCATGTGATAGTAAACTTGGTACACTTCAAATTGTGATTTTCTACAACTTAATTACAGTTAAAATACATTAAGCACCAAATTAGTTGTTCCTAAATAACACACTTCAAGCTAAATAATCCTTAACAAATTTGCAGTGTACTGATAATTTGTCTGGCTTCAAGTATGCTAAGATTTTATATACCGTACTTTGTCTATTTATTTGTCACAATGGCAACACTCTGCCATGACCAACTGGGGGTTTAAGTAGACAGAGCAGATGCTAAGAAAACAAACTGATCTAAGATTAAGGATCACTTCTCTTTTAGCTGTCTTTTTAGATAAAACCATTTTAGTTCAACAGAATTCCTGTAATTTAATAAGAATGCTGTTGAATTACATACATTCTGTGTTAAAGAACACTTAAAAGTTAGTAACAGGAGGAGTAGTATGTCACCCAATGCCTCCCCCCAGGAAAGTGTCAGCGGAACAGATTTCTGAGCAGATGCAGCAACAATGAAAAGGAAATATACTGAGAGAAAATATGAAATAACTTCTAACTTTATGGTAAAAATGTAACTGAAAGTGGTCTGTGTTTGTTTCCCTGGCGGTCTAAGAATAAGTGGTCTCAGAATAATCTAACCCTCTCTAGCTTAATCGAAACAGAAAAGTTTTTACCCGTCTTAACAGTAGACAACATGTCTGCCTCACAGACTAAACCTGGAAGAGAAGCCTGATGGCTGAAAGATCTGCCTCCAATTCTACTTTTTGAAATTCTAGGAACCAGCAATAAACCTTTAGTCAGAGAGCAAAGTTCTCTGTTAGAAACACGTGGAACAATCAGATCTCCGATGCATGGTGGAGTTTGATTATTAAGGGGCTTTTTATGTGAAAAGGGACACTGAAATACAAATATGATCTCGCTTCATAATTGTAATTTTGCTGTAGCATTTTAGATCAGCTGAATGTTTTTACCTACATTTTGTGGACTTCCTGACAGCAAAGTATTAGAGGAGCCTTGAAATAACAAATGCATAGATTAGTTTTTTAGTGTGACTCCTGGACAGGATATTTCTCATTTTTGTAATATTCCAGAGGTGAAAGAATTAAATTTTTGAAACCTGTTTATAATGGAATTTAAATTATATGTCCTAGTCAAAAATAACACAGAAGTTCTTTAATTTATTAATGGAGGGAAATTTAATGCCATCCAGATTAAGTGATTGGCTAAGCAGTTTCATTTTCAAAACGCTTCTCCAAAGACAAGAACTTCTGTCTTGTCAGAATATAAAAACAGAAAATTTTGAATAATCAAGGTTTTTATGTCTGCAAGACGTCTGTAATATACCTAATTGATTGGATTCATCAAGACTTATGGACAAATAAAGTTGAGTGTCATAATCATAACAGTAAAAATGTATTCCATGCTGTTGATGATTTTACCAATCGGAAGCATATAAACTGAGAACTTTGACCAAACACTGAACCTTGTGTTACTCTACAAGAAGCCCCTTAATTGAAACTGGAATCTGTCAATTAAAGGAAAACCAACCATGTTGTTCCCTGGATCACTGTAAGCCTTTCTAAGAGAACAATATGATCAACTACAAGCATCACTGAGAAGAAAAGAACAGAAATAAATTCACTATCTGAGGCCATGTGAATATCATTAGTGACTTTCATCAGTGCTGTCAGGCAGCAATGTACCGTCATGTCTGCCTTCTCACAAACTGATGTTCTTATTTTAGACTGTGGTGGTTGAAAAGAAATTTGCACTAAATCTCACAAACTGAACACATTATCAGATTATCGTTGAGCAAAGTCTCTGGTAAATTATTTTTCTATTCAGTTGGAATTTGTCTATGAGATTTTTGTTTTGTTTTGTTTTGATTTTTAAAGCTTTTTTGGCTCTAGTGGCCTTTACTTTTATAACAAATTTATGTCAGGTCATGATTTCTTGGTTGGCAGTCATGCTTTCATGCCTCTGCTTCATAGTTTTACATCTGGAGTTTTTAGAGATGTAACTGTTACTATGTAATATATTATGCTATTTAATGTATTATCATCATCATCATCATTATTATTATTATTATTATTATTATTCTTAACTAGTTATTTTATAAATCATCTGATTTACAAAATTTTATTTAAACTTGCAATAATACAAGCATTATTACAAGTTAGATACTTAGGAATTTAAAAACAACACTTTTTCATGCTAAAGTAACTGGAACTTGACCAGTGCCTGTCTTAAAAGGATTTATTTCTCTCTTTCTCCAGTTTGGGAATGAAGCTCAGCAACTTGAATGGGCCAAGCGAGAGAGTGAGCGGGCAGAGCGAGATCGACTGAAAAGGCTCAGACAACAGGAACAGGAGGACCTGGAGCTGGCCATTGCCCTTAGCAAGGCAGAGATGTCTAATGCATGACATCTAAATCTAACATGCATCTAACTCAGATGACATTATAATATGAACACATCCACACACACACACACACACACACAACCTTGCACCACCATATTTAACATATAGCTGCAAAACTTGTTTAGATGCATGACAAAAAAAGAGTGATTTAATATACAACATGAGGACGAGGAACTTTTGTATACACTGTGTATTACCACTTTAGTTCTGGATATCAAGACTGATATATTAACTAAATCAAGCAGACAAAACAATTTACCAGGATTTGAGTCCATAGCAGCTCTTTTTTTGGGGGGTACATTCACAATGTGAAAAAACAGCATGTCAGTTAACCTGGCATTGAGCAACAAAGAAGCTAACACAGATGTAGATTCATGTCATAGTGACCAACTGAAGTGGAGAGTGTTTCCTCTTCTAATATTTGATAGAATTTGGTATTTAGTATTTGTGCACAATGCCACAAAAATGATTTAACAAAGAAATGATCAGGTTTAAGAAAATTAGATGATCACTAATAGCAATCAGTAAGACATAACCAAGAGGTAAGATATCAAGATTTTAAGGACTCTAAAATCTTTATCTGATGTACAGAAATGAGGTAGATATTCATTTTTTCACTCTGTTTTTAGAATGCTTTCAAAATAGCTTGATATTCCTCTTTGTGCCACACAAAATTAGCATAGAAGGTCAAGCAAGACAGAATTGTTCAGAAATCCCAAAGTACCAGAGCTCTCTAGAGACACAAACAGTTGAAATCATTTATTTCCATACAGCTGAGAAGGACTCCAAACCAGCCGGGTTGGTTTTATGCCCAGGCCCAATCTCAATCCCAGCTTCAGGCACAACTCAGGTTGGGCTTGTGCCTTGCAATTCTCCAAAATGTGCGAGAGGACACTACAAGTAGACGAGGAAAGTCTTATCCAAGGACACATGACTGAGAAGGACAGAGCAGGGGTCACTCCTGTGTCGTCCCTCCCACAGGTTATAAGGCAAACTCCTACATTCTGAGCCACCAGGCCCCCCATCCCAGATCACACCAAACATTTCCTGATTTAGATCAAATATATTTGTATTTGTATTGTATAACATTTTATTCATGAAATTTTAAAATTCAAAATTCAACAATCATTGTAATATTTGGTAGAATTGCTGTGTAAACTATATACAGGGTCAACGCTAGTAGAATCTGTTTTGTTAGTATGACAAGAATGAGGCAGGTGAGGTTAACGTGTACTTTACTTCACATCACAACTTCCACATACACATTGGTTAATATGTTACACATAAAGATAACTGTACACAACATCTCCCCCTTTTTGAGGAACAGAAAAGGAAATAATCCATCATCAGTTGAGATTAGAGCTTTGTGATTATCACAACTTTGTTGTCCCATGTAAGGATTTTGCTCTATTTGCCCAAAGCTTAAACTTTTGGGCTGATGTTTGAGAAGTCACTTTAATAATTCCTCATCATATTGTTCCCTCACGTTGTTATTTTTCGGGATGTGCCTGAGCTCAGCCCATCTTTCACATCTTTGTGACTAGAAGATGCTAAACTAAACAGTCACAGTATTTTTTTTGACTGGCTTTTAGTCGAGTATTGAGAAATGTAAAGCTCAACATAGAGCTGGCACTATTTTGGGATGCTGTTCTCAGGTTTCCAAGAGAATGTAACAATGGCAAAACACTTGGACACAGTTGGATCAGAGAACAGAACATGTCTCCAAAAAGGTAACACTTTATTTGAAGGGGGGTGAATAAGACTGTCATGACACTGTCATAAACATGACATAACACCTGTCATGAACATGAATAAGTCTTCATGAATATTTATGACTGTTGTCATAAAGCGTCATATGATAAATTATGACACTTTTAATACAAAGTTGACATTATTCAAAATGTCTTTGTTATGACAACTTGACATTAACAAAGAAATCATTACTGATATAAATTTGTTATAAAAGTATTATTGATTGCACTTTAAAGATGAGGTAACTTTATGTTATTAAAGGTAAAGTTTAAACAGTAATGATTTCTTGGTTAATGTCAAGTTGTCATAACAAAGACATTTTGAATAATGTTAACTTTGTATTAAAAGTGTCATAATTTACCGAATGACGCTTTATGACAACAGTCATAAATATTCATGAAGGCTTATTCATGTTCATGGTGTTATATAATGTTTATGACAGTGTCATGACAGTCTTATTCAGCCCCCTTCAAATAAAGTGTTACCTCCAAAACTAACGTATTTGTTCCAGAGTTCATTTGTAAAAATATATTCTCACTTTTCATCATCAGGTGGACTTTCAGCCCGTGAAAGTCCACCTGATGATGATGTAGAACTTGTTTTGTTGTGAAGCTACCAGCATCTTCACAAGGTTTTTGCTTGTATTCTGTGGTTGCAACACATGTTCATCTTTGGGACACAGAACCTCCTATGATGGTCGAGATATTTCCATGCTGGACTTGCATTTAATGTTTGCTTAGAGAAGAATTTCACTTTCAGGCACCTAGAAATAAGTGATGGATAAACCAGACATAGTGGGGTCCAGAATTCTCATGTTGCATATCTTGAAGAATGTTTTTAGATTTTATCATAATGCTACACAAGTATGATGTGTTTGAAGTGATGCCAATATCCACAAGGTGATAGACAGAGTAACAGCATAGCGTGAACAGTTTTTTTCAGTCAGAACTTCTGACTCTGAAAAAGTAGTAAAAAAAAACTTTTTTGAGAATTTTTTTCTTTACTCTGGTAATAAAAATAATATAACAATAATTTTGGTTAAAAAATAAAAACAGAACTGTTTAGTCTGATTTAATAACAGAAATTAAAAGGGGAAAATTGTTTTGCATCATTTTGAATGTAAATATCTGGTTTCAACTGTATATGGACTCCAGCTTGGCTGCATCTTGCAACCCTCCCAGAACAAACTGGGACATCAAAGCTGTAAACATTTGTCAGCTCAATCATGCCCTTCATCCACAGAGTGTATAGAAGCAGCCAACCTCCTGAACCCCAATCACCAATCCCTGAGGATGACTCTCATCCCTGCAAAGGATGCACAGGATCTCTGGGTTTCTCTACTGAACATTATTCATGTGACCCACAAAAAATGTTCCACAAGGGACTTTCCTCCAGCCTGGAGCTTTTCCCCTTCACACTCCTAAGTATTGCATTCCAGAGTGGATGGTATGTTCTTTGGCAGTATTTGGTTTTTTGTTGTTTTTGTTTCTGAGTAAGCAAAGTGTGCAAACCTCAAGTGCTACCTTTTCATCAGAGTTGTGACTTTTCTGCAGGAACTTATTAGTTTGCTTACATGCTGTATAACTTGCTGCATTGAAATTACTACAACACAAAGTCCAGGGACTGGAAATTCCGTCTGAGGTGTTTTCAGATTGTTTTGGTGATACCGTGTAATATGAGGAAAACATATGCAACAAGATGGTGAATGTTTCAATAATAATGTGATTTGCAGTGAAAATACAAATAAGTAAACAGTATTACCACTTTTGGTTCATAGCAAATAATGGTCCATTCAGTCTGGTCTGATTCTGGGAAAGAAAAGAAAAAGAAAAAAAAATCAATTTCAAGGTTTGGAAAAGTTTTGACTTCCAGTGACTTCTGAGTGTTAGCATTGGAATGTATCATGAATTACCTTCCCAACTCTTAACCTTTGAAATCATTTCCTGCTGCATGCAACAAATGCCACAAAATACATTACTGGAGTAGGGAGTCTGAAAGCATGGTTATTCAAAAATTAGCTAAAATTCAAGCAGTTCCTCACAGTGTATGTATTATGTGATATATATTGTTCAGATCTACTAGGTAGGTATTAGGGATGGTACATAAAAATGCTATGGTTCCATGGTACATACAAACATGTGAAATAGAAGTGTGTAACATGATCTTAAAACAGATGCAGCAATTATCTCTGCTTAGATGTTCAGCTGTAATGTCATTTGGAACCTTATTGCTATTTTTGACTAAATAAGCACTCTCTGGATTTAGTTTTTTTATTCTACTGAACTTACGTTCCCACAATACTGGTTCATTTCAGTTTTGGCTTTAATTTATCTCAATATATGTTAAACTAACTTATCACAGTAAAGAATATAAATTTAAATCATTTTGGTGAGAGATGTTGAAGTGTTCAGGTTGTGTCTGGTGTCTTTCCTGGGTTGATCAGTGTATAAGTGAACAGCAACCTCAGAAGAAGGTTTTATTACTTACTTTACACAACAATATCTTTGTTTATTATTTAGCCATATATTTATCCCATGATGATACAAATGCATGATTTGAATTTTTTGCTTTTCTTATGTAATAAAATTCAATAAAAACAGATTTACAGTGGGTATGGAAAGTATTCAGACCCCTTTAAATTTTTCACTCTGTTTCATTGCAGTCATTTACCATATTATTTCTCATGAATGTACAAATAATTCATAAGAATTATTTTCTCCCCATTTTTACAGAAAAAAACAAAAAGGTAGAATTTTTTGCAAATTTCTTAAAAAAGAAAAACTGAAGTATCACACAGTCACAAATATTCAGACCCTTTGCTCAGTATCTAGTAGAAGCACCATTTGGAGCTAGTACAGCCATGAGTCTTCTAGGGAATGATGCAACAAGCTTTTGACGCCTGGATTTGGGATCCTCTGCCATTCTTCCTTCAGATCCTCTCCAGCTCCCTCCGATTGGATGGTGAATCTTGGTGGAGCCATTTTCAGGTGTCTCCAGAGATGCTTAATTAGATTTAGGTCAGGGCTCTGGCTGGGACAGTCAAGAATGGTCTCAGAGTTGTTCTGAAGCCACTCCTTTATTATTTTAGTTTATTTTAGTCATTGTCTTGTTGGAAGGTGAACCTTTGGCCAAGTCTGAGGTCCTTAGCAATCTGGAAGAGGTTTTCTTTCAGGATATCTCTGTACTTGGTTGTATTCATCTTTCCTTCAACTGCAACCAGTTGTCCTGTCCCTGCAGCTGAAAAGCGTCCCATAGCATGATGCTACCACCACAATGTTTCACTGTTGGGATTGTATTGGGCAGGTGATGAGCAGTCCCTGGTTTCCTCCACACATACCGCTTAGAATTAACCCCAAAAAGTTCAATCTTTCTCTCATCAGACCAGAGAGTCTTATTTCTCAAAGTCTGGGAGTCTTTCATGAGTTTTTTGGCAAACACTATGAGAGTTTTTGATATGTCTTTTTGGCACTGAGGAGAGGCTTCTGTTGGACCACCCTGCCATAAAGCCCCAACTGGCGGAGGGCTGTGGTGATAGTTGACTTTGTGGAACTTTCTCCCATCTCTCTACTGCATCTCTGAAGCTCAGCCACAGTGATCTTTGACTTCTTTGCCTCTCTCACTAAGGCTCTTCTCCCATGATTGCTTAGTTTAGCTGGATGGCCAGATTTAGGAAGAGTTCTGCTCATCCCAAGCTTCTTCCATCTAAGCATTGTGGAGGCCTCTGTGCTCTTAGGAATCTTACGAACAAGGCATAGAAATGTGCCTTGCACAGAGCTCACTGGGCAGTTCCTTCCATGTCATGATTCTCATTTGCTCTGACCTGCACTGTGAGCTGTGAGGTCTTACATAGACAGGTGTGTGACTTTACTAATCAAGTCCAAACAGTTTAATTAAACACAGCTGGAGTCCTAAGAAGGAGCAGAATCTCATGGAGGATCGGAAGAAATGGACAGCATGTGAGTTAAATATGAGTCTCTGACTACTTATGACCATGTGATATTTCAGTTTTCTTTTTTGATAAATTCACAAAAATATTTACATTTCTGGCTTTTATCTGTCAAAATGGGATTAGTGTACATTTATGAGAAACAATATCAACTTTTTGATTTTAGCAAATGGCTGCAAAGAAACAGAGGGAAAATTTTAAAGGGGCCCGAATACTTTCCATCGCCATAGTGTATAGCACTTTTCAACCCTCAAAGGGCTCTCAAAGAGGTTTTACAATGAAATCAGTCAATCCCATTCACACGCTGATGACAGAAAGCTACTGGACTGTAGCCACAGCTGTCCTGGAGGAGTCTGACAGAAGGCAAGGCGTTCATTAGAACTAACTGGACATTTTTCTGAAATTGTGCATGCTACAAATTGTACCATGGTACAGTTTTCTATTATCAACATATGCAGCTTATAATAGAAATTTGTTCACTAATTAATGACCAGAGTTAGTGGGGTCCACAATTCTCATCTTCCTGTTTGAGTTTCCTGATGCAAGTCCTCATAGTTTGTCTTATGAGTCAGAAAACACATTGCTGGGCATTTTTACCATCAACACTTGTGAAAGATGCTACTGGCTGACTGAGCAATTGCTCAGTAAGACACATCTTTGGGACTAACTGACTGCCGTAAAGGTATCAAGTGTTGAGAGATTTAAGAGATATAACATTGGGAGTGAAACTAAATTTAAGACCTTCACACATTTTGTCAGAAGCCACTTAAAATATGTCTTAATATTTGTGAAAAAAAAGATACTTTAAACCTCTAAGTCTAGAAAATTGAAGTAAAGGAACTAATAGAATAAGTGGTTTTCCACATTTTTGTCCTCAAAGTCATCAGGTGTGACACAAAGCTGATGTATTATAACCAGATTCTGATATGATAAAAATAGTTGACTATACGTTTGCATATTTGCATAGCCATATTATCTTTTGTGGTTAATTTCAGTTTTTGTTGTATTTTGTTTTAAATTATGCTGCTTGCCAGCTGAGCTAACTTATTGACCAGCAGTAAACTAAACTGTATTTTGTACTTGAATGCTAAGTGTTTGCATTTTTCTTGTCC